TGATGATGGGGCTAGGGGACCACCCTGCCATCCTTTCTCCCCTGGCCCCACTGCCAGGAGTGAGGGCCCAGCCTGGCCTCTGGCCTCTCGGAGAGGTAGGGAAGGGAGAGCCCAGGCTGCAGAGCCCCCACCCCCCACTGCACTAGCCCAGGCCCAGCCTCCTCTGCCCACCCCCTCCGGCCACATCCCAAATCCCCAATCCCAGCAGCAGACCTCCGTGTTTGCCTGTTGCCATGGTAATAGGATGCACCTTTCTGTTGCTATGGCAACCAGCCAGGGGTTTTTAAAATTCAGTTGAGGTAATTTCCACCCCTCAATCCTCATCTTCAGACACCTCGTTTCTTCTCTTTTCTTCTCTGAAGCTTAGAAGATGTGGGGGGAGCCTGTAGCTACCAACCAGAGGCAGAGGGTCTGCCAGGCTGGTGGAAGACCGGGGCCTCGATTCCTCTCTGACTCCTTCCCCGAGACCAGACCCTGGAGGGAGGACAGTCCCCCATCCCCTCCCCAAGGCTGTGACGACACCGGGAAGACCAGGGCAGGGCGCAGCCTGTGTGCTGTGGGCCCGCAGGAGTGGGGACAGTCCCCAGGGCTCTCCTAGGATGTCAGGACACCAGACCCTAGGACAGCAGGGCACAGATGTTGTTTATGCCTGTCGTGATGCTAAGGAGCTTAGCTCCGTGGAACCCTGGGCTGGCTGGGCTTGGGCAGAGGGCGTCTGAGAGGAAGGGTGGGGGAGGGGTGCGGTGCTGACCCCACCCCTGCCCTGCCCCACCGCAGCCTGGCTCCTGGGCACCAGCTCCAGTAAGCCCAGCCACTGGGAGTTCTTTGAGTCTGGGGCAGTGTCCCCTCCCTGCCACCTGCTTCTGGCTGAGTGAAGAGGAGTTGACCGCCCGGAACGGACAGGTAGATGACGCCCCCCTTCCCTAGCCCTGCTGAGAAGACTGAGTCTAGGGCGAGGGCCGAGCCCCAGCACTGCCCACTTTACACCTTAGCGACAACGCTCTCACGGTGACGTCTCTAGAGCTAGAGAAGCGCTTCCCAGGAGGGAGGAGACCAGAAGGGCCTTGCAGCCCGGCATCCTCTGTTGGTCAGTTGGCTAGAGGGTCCTGACCATCTCGTCCCTCGGGATGACCGTGGAACATCCCTGTAGCTCCAGCAACCTCAGGCTGGCTTCCCCAAGTCAGGGACTGCAGGGCCATCAGCAGGGTGCTGGAGCAAGAGGGAAGTGGCTTCTAGCCTCCCCAGTGGCGAGTGTCCAGCACAAGGGGCCGAGAAGCTGTAGCAACAGCCCTGGAGCCAGCTGACCTGGGGGACTATAGTGGATCCCTGGGCTGAGGCCCTGCCCGCTCTCCCAGGGAGGTCCCATGTTCCACAGGGCTCCTTGGGGTGAGCATTGACCTCCCTGTCTCTCCTGTTAGAGCAGCCCCAGCCCCCAGTCGGTCTACCTGGAGGAGGGGTACCTGCAGCCCCGCCCACGGAGGCCCCTAGCGCCTGGTCTGCACCCCTGCGTGCAGGACAGTACAATCCGCTCTGACACTTTCATGAGCTGTTACTCCCCCCAGCCCTGTAGGCGCCACTGGCCCAGACGAAGCCACATGGTTCTCCATGGCAGGCACCCTTGATTCCGTTTGTCTTCCTACCAGCTGGGGGAGAAGGGCGAGGTGGGTTAGCCCAGGACCTCTGTTAAGGAGATGGTGGGCCCGGGAGGGATGAGGATGGGGGGGTCTTATCACCACAATCCACCCGGCCTCTCCCCACTGCTCCCAGCCTGCCGCTCCTCCCAGGCTTCCAGACAGAGAAGTCCCAGAAGTCCCAGGCTCTGCTGGGGAGGAGGGAGCCTGGCCTCAGACCTGGTAAGACTGGGGCCGGCCCTGATGGGGAAACCCGGTCCCCAGCCTTGTTTCCATGCCCTGCTGGCAGGCAGCAAGGTGAGCAGAGGGGGTGCTTATCTCCCAAGCACCTCCTCTTTACAACCACGATCTGGTTCCCCAAGGCCAGGTCCCTCTCCCCAAAGAGCTCCAGCACCAGCACCTGACTGTGAAGCTCCCCCCAGCCCCAGCAGGGCCTCCGCCTCAACCCATGGCTGCAGTCTGAAATCTGAGACCCCACTCAGTGTGACCTGGCCTTGCTTGGCATCAGCTGAACCAGTGTCCAGCCAGACAGAGCCTCAACGAGGTCCGCTGGCCCTGCAGGCTGGGCAGCCCTGGGACTCCCACCGAGCTGAATGAGGATTGCACGTGAGAAAGGGGCCGCTCTGGGCGGGGCCAGTGTGGTGGGGAGGAGGCTGCTCCAGCCAGGTCTCCTGATGGCTTAGATTCTGGCACCTCCTCTCTGGGGTCAGAGCCAGAACCTGCCCCATGTCCCATGTAGACTGGTCCTGCAGGAGTCTCAGACTCCACTGATGGGACCTCGGACCATCCTGAACATCTCCTGGAAAGGGTCCTGGGTCTCCAGGACCAAGCTCTCAGGACCTCCTGGGGGAGGGACTCTCAAAAGAGAAGCTGAGGGACCCGCAAGTGGTATAGTGGCTGAGGCACTAGACTCTCACATGACCCACCATGGTTCAAGTCCCGGACCTGACAGCTTGAAAATCAGGCTGGGCGTGTGTGTGAGTCCAAAATCCCAGGAGGAGAATGGAGGAGAAGGGATTGCAGCATGACCATCCCCCCGGAGGGCACGTTCTCACTGTCCCTCTCTCTGTTTCTGTCTCTCTCCAGCCAGTGGTGTGGGGGCGCAGCACCTCTGTGTGATACTGGAGCCACGTGGGAGCCCTGGGCTCGGATTCCGGGTTCATCTGAGCACACTGGAGACCACTGCGA